GCGAATGACCCTACAACATCGGTGCCGGCAAAAAAGTGATATCGGTGATCGATGCATCTAATTAGGTTAAAAAATCTTTACTATAATTTTTTTAACGAAAAAAGGAATAGGGGCCCATTTTAAGAAGCTGGAAAATCGATTTTTTATAAGTAAATAATAGGAAACATTTAGTGGTATTGAGCAATGTGATGAAAAAAATGTGATAAAAAAAATGTGATAAATCATTATGATGTCATCTAGGGATACTAATCGCGTAAGCTTCATCATAAAACGTTTTTTTCATTCATTTATTATTATACTTCAATATATACACATTCATAATTTATATAAAAAATTTAATGAAATAATTTATATTTTAAATGTTTTATTTTATTCAATCGCACAATAATAATATCTTCTAAAATATCATCCTTGAGATTTCTACGTAAATTAGACTATATTTCAAAGATGAAAATCCACGTTCTACCCTTATTTAAAATAGATAGTTAGTACTTGTGTCGCCAGTACAACCATGACGATTTTAGACAAGATATATGATTCTGGATATATTGAAGAATTTTTTTTCCAGAATTTTAAAATATTTGTATCCTTATTTATTCTCTTAACTTCTGAGGACTTTTCTATTTATGATGCAATAGGCATTTTTTGATCCTCCTTTCTATCTGATGATAATTTGATTTTTTTTCTCTTTCTAAAAGTAATTTCAAGATCATCAATGTTGCTCTCATTATAATTATTATCGCTATAACCAGTAGGTATTATTGTTGTAGCATCCAATATATTGTAAATAATGGAGTTTTGCTTATGCCATAAATCCTTAACTTTAGACATTTGTTTTTGCTCAATGCTTAAAAAAACTTGATATCGAGGGTCTAAATATATTGAAGCATATACAACACTATTTTGCAAATATTGTTCCTCTCGAATTTTCATGTTTTCTAATATTTCGTATGAAAAAGAACAAGTGAATCTTTCTAAATTTGATCGGCATCTAATCCATATGCCATAAAAATCAGATAAACATAATTGTTATAATCGTAATTATGATGTTGTTATTTTTAAAGGAACTAATACACTAATAAGGTCCTTTATTTGGCACCAATCATCTTCTTACAAAATAACACATGCTCCTATAATAAAATCATAATAGAAATCTTTCAAACATAATAATCATTCTTACTTCATACAAATTGAGGATCAACGTGTTGTGCAATCTAATATTGCCATTGACCTTTTCATTGATTTTAATATTCTTACAATTGTGGGAGTTCTTAAATAATGATAGTTTAAAGTGATTATTTTATAGATAGTCATTAATAGCCAATTGTAGAGTATGGGCTGCACATCTGATGCAATATATATTTATGGGAAAATCTATTAATAAATTTACCTAATAAAATAATTACCTACACTAGAAAATAATTTATGATATAATCTCTAAATAAAATGGATGTCCAGGAAGAAATTGGAAAGAAAAACGCGAAAATATAATAAATGATTCCGCGAAAAAAAAATATAAAAAAATTTAATATTGTTTTTTAAAAAAATTTTATATTATTTTTAAAAAAAATCTATTTTTAAAATGTTTTTATGACACCTAGAACCCTTGGACCTTCCACTTTTAAAAAGGGTCCGGGTGGTAAAGACAAAATACGAGGGTTCCGGGTTCGAGTTCACATCCTTGCCTTAAACCTAAAAATTTTATAATATATAATCCAATTTATTATAAAAATGCAAAATAAGATATAAAAATGAATATAAAATATTTGCTACCCCTTAATTTTTTTAAAAAAACTTCTCTTCTTAAATAAAATCATTTTTAAATGAAGAATAGGAAATTTATATTTTAATGAGCTGGTTTATATATTATAACTACATCCCGTATGCCGGCATTGGAGGACTTTAACCCACTATCTAAAATTTTATAAAGATAAGTTAAATCTGCAAATTAATGTGACGCGAATATAAAAATTTAATTTTTTTTGAGATAAGTGGTTTAAACCGTTTTATAAAAATATTTTTTTAAAAGAGATACTATCAAGATATTTTTATTTTGGCCTTACTACGACCTTTAATGGATTATAGTGAATTAAATCTACTTCTTTAATTTACCTTTTCTGTCCAAACCCAGCCTAATATTTTCTTTTGAAACAAACATTCGCCTAAATCTGCCATAGGGTAGTTGGAACATCATTTAAATATACAAACTAGTATCTCATTTAAATCGATAAATATTTGTTTTATTTTTAAATTACAAATTATGAACGATTATTTGTTTAATTATATCTAACTAAAGTATTTTTTCCCCTCTACAAATAATAAAAATAGAGGCAATCTTATTCTCGATGGGCATTTGATATACAAATATTTATTAAATGATTATATTTCGAAATTAAATTTTTATTTCACTTTATATAAATACAAATATTTATCAATTGATAAAAAATTTAAGGTCTTCTTCGCTGCTCTTACTCATATTTATTACACAGAAGTGTAGACTCGTTTAAAACGTTCCCAAATTGAAAATATACACATGCAGAAGCAATAAGACTAAATCCGGGTCGGAGAGATAAGAATGGAAATTTCAAATTTTTGCAAATGCTTGATTATCTGAGCAATAGGGGTTTCGGAATCATATGTGAAGGGGGGGGGGGGGTAAGAATTTTTTTATTTAATCTTAAAATGCTGTTTTTTTCATATTTTTCCCCTAAAGCTTTTACCAAAATTTAAGCTACTCTAGCATATAAGTACAATATTCCGCTCTCTTTTAGGTATCAAAATACTGCCACCCTCATTAGAGCTTAAACATCTAAACATCATATTTACACACTTTCATGATAGTTGTGTTGCGACCAGAGACCTTCATGGGCCGGGTATATGCCAAATATCATATTTTCTAGCGGGTCTAGGTCGGGCCTGGGCTTTTAATTTTTTTTAATGGGCCGGGCTTGGGCCTAAAATTATTAAATTTAAATTTAGATTATTTAAAACAGTTGCTAATTTAAAGAAATATTGCCTTTTTTCTTCTAATAATAAATTTCAGTATTGTAAACAAAATTATTGCCTAAATATATTTAAATATTGTTAATTTTCATTAAATAAAAAAAAATTAAATTTTTCTATATTGGCTTGGGCCTGGCTTGGGCCGGGCTTGGGAAATTTTTGTGAAACTTATTATGGGCTTGTGAATTGATAGTTGTGTTACGACCAGAGACCTTCATGGGCCGGGCCGGCCCGCATGCCCAATGGGCCGGGTATGGGCCTAATATCATATTTTCTAGCGGGTCTAGATCGGGCCTGGGTTTTTAATTTTTTTTAATGGGCCGGGCTTGGGCCTAAAATTATTAAATTTAAATTTAGATTATTTAAAACAGTTGCTAATTTAATGAAATATTGCCTTTTTTCTTCTAATAATAAATTTCAGTATTGTAAACAAAATGATTGCCTCAATATATTTAAATATTGTTTATTTTCATTAAATAAAAAAAAATTAAATTTTTCCATAATGGCTTGTGTTGAAAGTGGGGCTTTTGAGACCTAAAAATAAAAATAGAAAACAAATATATATATAAAAAGAAATTAATAATAATTAAAAATCACGAAATCATGAAATCAATTTAATTCTTTATTCAAAATTATAACATTATCAAATTAACAAAATTATAAAAGTAAAAATAATAAAAAGATTAATAAAAATAAAATACAAAAAAGTTAATAATTATAAAAGATCATCACGAATGGTAAAAATTGGAGTTTTTATACTCTTTTCAATCTTCTTTATAAATAATATTCATAACTTAAATTATTTTCAGTTCTCACTATTCAAATATAATATTTTTATCACGCGTTATAATAATAAATCCAAAAGAATTCTTTATGCAAATTAAATATAAAGTACAAATTTAACGAATATTACAACAGCTTGAGCTGGGCTTGGGAAATTTTTGTGAAACTTGGGCCGGGCTTGGGCCAAAGTTTTTTTTACTGCAGGCCTGGGCCGGGCTTGGTCAAAAAATTAAGGCTCGAAATTATCTGGTTACGACTACGATTGTCATTCTTTAAAAAAAACTAGCCCGATGTTTTGATTATAGTAAATTTGGCATTCAAATTGTAATTATTTTTCTTTGCTGGATAAGCTTAATAGGCTATTGACACCTGGAAATTTATTATTAGAACGCAACAATATATTTAGGTAGCCCCAAAAGTTGTAGGACCAATATTTGACACGGCAGTTTGTAATATGTTTGAATATCATTACCAGATCTTCTGATAGAACGAAACAAGTAATTTAGTGACTATTAGCAAGGTCATACTAAGACTTTTGGAGGCCCTTTAAAAACCATAATGACTTATAAAAAGTGATTTTAAATCAAAAAAGCAAAAATAAAGTATTTCAAAATTAGTAAATAAAAGAAATAGAAATAGTTAAAAAAGGAAAGGAATTAAATAGCACCAAAATTAAGCTGCCTCTAAAATAATCTAATTTTGACGACCCGCTGCACCATATAACGGGCAAATTTGGTTCTAGTTGTTAGGCATCCATAACCACTTAAAATACGGGTCCTTTAATAAAATCATATTTTTAAAAAATTTCCCTCCCTATTAGGGAAATCCTTGTCACGCTTTAGTTCGGCTCTCAATATTTTATTCGATCTCTTTTATAGTAGTAAAGTCCTGGCTAGTGATGTCAAAAAGCTCTATTTGGGTCTATTTTTAAAAATGATACGATTAAGATTTTAGAAAATATAATTATGTAAGTCTCGAGATTTGGCATGTTTAAACTTTTCTACCATCTATGAGTAAAATCTCCAGGCTAACATAATATAATTTTGGCTAAAATCTTAATCGGGTCGTTTTTATCGACGCTAATCGGGTTTTTAACAACACTAGTCCTGGGTTTTTAGGAATATGCACTCATTATTTGTCTCTTTTAATAAATAGATTTTTTTAAAATTCATAAAACAAATTTTTTTAAAATTATTATCTGTTTTGACCTTTAGAAAATAATAAAAAGCAATCAAACGCGCTCAATTCTACGAAGGTTCACGATATCTACCGACAGTTAGAGTCCCTTAAAGTAGATATATCGAAGGGTAAAGTTAGCGATATTAAACTGAACACATTAGATGCCAATTCAATGCCTTGCGAGATATGTCATGTTTCTCTGTCCCTATTTTTGCCTCATCTGAAATCCATATATGCGTCAGATTATAGTATACTTAACCCTCGCGCATTTATTAGACCACTTGCGACGCCTCTTCAAAAAAGTTTTATAAATATTAACGTTTTAATGTGCTATATTTTACACATTTCATTTTAGACCTAAGATTTCTAATTAGACAGACTCAGTTGTTTCTAGAGGGCCTTCTATAATGGGGGGGGGGCGATGCGATTGTTTTATTACAATTTTAGAGGTATAAAAGCTATTTTACAAAAAACACTCATGGGGCGAGGGTGAATGGAACCCCCTAAAAAAATTTTCTAGAAAAGTTAATTAATTGGAGATTTTTTAGGATTAATTTTTCTTTTAATTTACCTTACCATTTACTTTTATAAGTGTATCTAGTTTTCCATATCTAATAATTTTATATATGTAAGTATTATATACTAACTATCCCTTCAGCCAGACATTTCTATCCCACTTAGACGATGTAACAGGTCAATTTAGTGAAACCTTTATTGCGGAACACTTTATATTAAACCTTTTATCGCGAAGGAATTTTAGAGCTAAGGTAATATCGCGAAACCAATCCCGCAAATTTTTTTCGCCAAACATTTACAGAGAAACCATCGCGAACCCATAATTTGGAGCGAATACATTTCAACGAAACATTTATCGTGAGAACATTACCGCAAAATAACGTTTTCAATAATAATTTACCCTAAGTTCTTAAATCATAAACGCGAAATGTTTTACTGGAATTTCGTTAAGCAAAAGTTGGATTATGTCATTTTTTCTCCGATGAGATGAAAAAATAACTTATAAATATATTCCTTCTCTTTCATGATATAATTACGGAAGCGATGTTTTCACTCAAACCTAAATTTTAAAATTTAAAAAATGCGCTTTATATATTTGAAAGAAAATTTTATCTAATGATCTGAAATGCTTATAATTTTTTCATTTCTTACTTAGTATTAAAAACTGAGAGCTATGATTTTTTACTGATTTCCTAGTTAATTCTTTTTAGAATTTATTTTAATGATTTTTATAATTATCTAATATATATAATCTCCGTAATCAAACCACGATCGTTTTCGTATCTCCCTAATGTATTTTAAATTTAAGGAGACTATATAGTGTAATGTTAATTTTTTGCTTTCAACGAGAATCGAACACAAGCCTCCCGTTTCAAAGGCATATGCTTTACCGCATGCACCAACTTGAATATAAATAAATTTAAAATATTAATTATATATATATTAAAGTTTCAAAGGCGTATGCTTTACGCATGCACAACTTGAATATAATTGAATTTAAAATATTAATTAATTAATATCTGATATATTTAAAATTCTACTGTTTATTATTATTACCATACTAGCTGATGGGGTTGAAGGGTAATTATTTAGTTTGTTTGTATGGTATTAAATAACTTTATTAATAATTTTATATAAATATTAAAATTTAAGAGAAAAAGAGGTAAATTGTTGCAATGTATACTGTGAGCATGTATTAGAAATATCAAAATTTAAAAATGTGATGGAAATCATATTGGATAAAATTTAAAATAGAGGTGCTTTAAGATTTTTGAATTTTAAATATGGGTTATAGATTAGTCTGAAATTTTTGTTGCAGACATAGCCAGGCCTGATCAAAAAACCATATCCCATGCAACTTTCATAAATTAATTAATAGTTGACATTTTTAAAATTTTGCCTGTGCATTGAATGCACTGAATACACACCTAATATTATGCATATTCATGAATATTTAGGGGTAAATAGAACTTTAAATGCATCAAGTACCAATTTAATATGAATAAGGTAGAAATGGCCAGTACCCATTCAATAGTAATAAGAGATTTATTTAAATACCATTTTAATTCTTGAATTTATGTATAATTTAGGATTTTATAGCATTATATTGGGGTTTCAGAAAAGATAAGAGAGATATGGAAGGGACAAAGCACACCTTGGTAACACAAAACTCTTATCTAGCAAGAATAAATTTTTAGATTATAAATTACAAATACAAATAAATAACATAAATACAATTACTAAATATATCAATTTTATAAAAATAATGGAAAATTTTAGAATAACCCCAAAATAAATATAAATTTTAAATAAAACCTCATAAGATAGGAAAATTTTGTATATTTACTCATAACTTCATAATTGTAATGTATGTTATTCATAACTTATTATAACATTTTTGAATAAATGTATAACCTTTTTGTTTTACTTATATATAATTTGACTATGATTGAAGTTTACCTCCTATTATTTGTTAACTTAGACATATTTTTTTATTTTTTCTATTGTAATTTAATAACAATTTCTTAAATTTAATTTTATATTTTGTAACTAAGTAATAAATCATTTGGTTTGTTTCAAATTTAAATTAGGATGAACATATTTTCAGAATGGTACTTTAATATATATTCATGAATTTCATATAAATACCAAGAGCTCACCAGTGGAATCATAGGTAAATCAGATATTTACTCATCATTTGATGATAATTTTGAAATTAGACAGATTTAATTCTTATAAACCCCCATCAGACCTATTTTTCTGGATCAAAATAAATTATTTGGGTTTTCCTGGGTTTGGGAAATATTTTTCACCTTTAGGACATAGCTTGATAAACTTTTTTCATAATTATTATGGTCTAAGATTCCTGTAAATTTTTTAATTTTAAATATGGGCTAAAAATTGGCCTGAAAATTTCTTTTGAAGACATGGCAAGGCCTGATCAAAAACCAAGGCCCATGCAACTTTCATATTTTGATTGTATTTTTAAATGCATTGTGACTTTTTATATATTTTATTTCAGTCTTCAACTAATCAAAATTATTATGGTCTTTTGCGGGTTTGAGAAAACCAAGTGCGAGGACCTGGCTTGGGAATTTTTTTAATATTAGGCATAGGTGTAATATTTAACATAGAATATTTATATGGCCCTCAGGTAAAATCTAATTTAAATATATTTTTATTCAAAAAAAATAGTATTCACTCTTAGTTTTAATGGGTTGGTCTTGGTTGGGGTGAGCTAGGTTAAAATAGACTAAAAAATAGATATGATTTTAGAGATTTACCTATCTCCAGGCTTGGAAAAAAATTTTGAAAATTACTATCGGTTGGCCAGGTTTGAGAAATTTTTTTTATAAAATTATTTTGGGCTGGGCTTGGAAAATATTTTTATAAATTATATTTGGGCTGGGCTTGGGGAAAATTTTTCAAAATTATTATGAGCTTGGACGCTTGAGAATTTTTTATATTAATTATAGGTCAGACATTGGCCCAAAACAAATTTTTTTGCAGGCCAGGGCTTGACCTGATCAAAAAACCAAGGCCCATGAAAATCTGAATTTTGATTGTATTTTTAAATTCATTATGATTATTTAAATATTTTATTTCAGTTCTGAACTACCAAAATTATTATGATCTTTCATTGGGCTTGGAAGAATTCATAATTAATATGGCTTTGGACTTTGCCTGGGAATTTTTTTTAATATTAAAATTAGGTATAAGTAATCAGTAATATTTAACAAATAATATTGGTATTATCAAGTAAATGCTTTAAATTTATTTTTACTCAAACCATAGCACTTAGTTTCAATGGATTGAACCTGGCCTGAAGGGGGGAGGAGGTAAAAAGAATATAAAGAAAACTTTTATTCCCCGTCATGACGGGCTATCTACTAGTTATATATATAAGGAGTGAAAAATTTTCTTATTTCTCTAGAAAATTGTTGCTCCTTTATCTGAACACCGGGAACTTGACTGCAATTTTTTTTTGTATTGAAACAATTACAATTATTGGAATAATATGAACCTAAAATTTACATTAATAAAAACAATTTATTTAAATATTTCTAATACTTTACATATACATTTTATTGTTTTATTTTTATAAAAACAAATCTATTTTATACAAAAATTATAAAAATCAAATTAGAATAAGTATAAAATATAAATAAATAGTTTGTAATATATATTTAAAAAAACAAGTTTCATAGAAATTCTTCCCACATTTTTTGCATGCCTTTTGATTATTTATTTTTTATATAATGCACATTGATTTAACTTTCTGATATACATTTTTTTCTATTTCAATAAATTGAAAAACTTCTTATGACTTTTTTAAAAAAATCAGAGGAAATCAGTAAAAATTCTTAGCTTTCAGCATTTTTAGTTCTGAATAAGTAAGACAAATTTTGAAGTATTTCAGCTTTTGCTAAAATTTAATTTGAATTGCATAAAGAACATTTTTTACATTTTCTATATTAATATTATGGGGTAGGGGATATATTTATTGTGGTAAAAAACTGAACCCAAAATTTCTTTACTTGCGACCATGAGTGGGATAGATCAGGAAGAATTGCTAAATTTTTTTTCATTACTTTAGATAATGATCACATTTAAGCTAACTCTTGCTTGCTTGATAGGCAATAAGTAACGAAATACCCTTATAGCATTTCACGATTATGATTCAAGAAATTATCTTTTGGTATAATGTTATTTTTATTTTAATAAATGCATTCAAAATATATTCATTGTTTCGCAGTAATGCTCTTGCGTTATTGACTTGGCGCAAATACATTTGTGATAAATAAATATCGTTATAAAAATTTAATAAAGTATAAAAATTTTGTTAAAATGTTTGGCCTCAAGGTGTTCACGGTTAGATTTAGAGGAAATCGTAATATTGTCTTCTCTATAATTCGCTGAAAAATTCATGGATTTGGTTTCGTGATTCAAAATGCCTTCGCGATAAAAGTTTCACTAATTGACCTGATATTTAAATTTCCTACCGTCAATCCAAGATTGCCAAATGGTTTTTATTCGGAATCGTGTAGTTATTGTTTATAATAGTAATGGGAGATATTTCCATTTTGGCGTACCTTCAATTTTTTTTTCTTGGGGCTTCGGCAGTTTATGTTTTTAAATATCGTATTTTATAATCTCCTGCTATATTTAATAGGTCAATATCATCTTTTTAATCTGAAGCTTGTCAAAAGATTCTGATTATCAAATCATAATATTTGTTTAAAATAGGCTCAAATTTATAATCCGACTCCAAATCTATATGATTTAA